AGTACAGATGCATCGATTGTTGACGAGGTAAAGTGGACCGTGTCGTGCGCAAGTCTTTTGTGTAATGAACGTTACTTTCAGTAAAAAGGGGGCATACGGCCAGACACACAGTAAAGGCAAGCCAATCTTGGCCGTAAGGTACTTCAATTTTGAGGAGGCGTGCGGCCAATTTTGAAAGGCACGACGGCCATTGGCCGCGGTGCCGCGGCTTATGTCTAGCCCTGGTTTCTTGCCTAAAGAACGTTATACAACCCCCTCCATTTCCCTCCTCCCGGTCACTTCGGATGTTATCATAGGCTTTAATAACAAAATCTAATTTGGGCTTCAATAAATAAAGCCTTTAAACTCTTATCCATTTGCTATGAGACTTCTCGCATTCCACTGTAAAATATTCAGTTTGTCCTGTCACTAGGTCCACCCGACTTCCCTTCTACTTCTAGTTTTCAGTAACATGTTACCAGGAAAGGTGTTTTATTGCCAAGAATTTCTCTGCTCCCCTCACAATTATTTAAATTTTCTATGTTTTATGTTTAACCTGATCAGTGAAATTAATCACATATGCTATAAACAGAATCAACTTGTTTACTGTCAGTGCCGAATCACTTTCTTCTCTTTGACCCATCCCAAATGCTGATTTTTGGTAACCTCTGGAAGTTCCGTTCTTTCCTGGAACCCTCTTCACTGCCTCTGCATAGCTTAAATTGTTGATCGTTTTAACTCGCTGAATTTCCACCACCCTTTTCCTAACCTCACATCCTCCATATGTCACTCTGTGCTGACCTCCACAGTTACAATACTTCTCTTGCATATTATCTCTACAATCTTCGTATTTATGGTTGCCACCACATTTGGGACACCTTTGTCGTCCTTTGCAAACCACTGCAATGTGCCCATACCTTTAACATTTGAAGCACCGTAATGGTGGGGGAATATAGGCTCTAACCGGGAAACTCATATACCCAATCTTCACCTTGTCTGGTAGAACCAACTCCTTAAACTCCAGAAGCACAGACATGCTCTCCACTCTCCGGCCATTTTATGTTCTCAGCAACTGTTATATCTTGCTCACTTGCCTCCATGAATACTTCGCTTGAGTTTGTCCAAATCCTCATCTACTAGAATACCTGTTTTCACTCCTTGCGTAAATCCAGTTTCACCGACAACCCGTCTGTCACCTCATCCTCCTCATCCTCATCATCTGCCGCTTGTCCGGGGTTCGGGTCACGGGGGCAGCAGCTTCAGGAGAGGCACCCAGACCTCCCTC